CCCGAGGGGGAGGAGGGGAAGGGGTTGAGGGTTGATTGGGAGAAGGCGGAGGCGATTATGATTGTGTTGGGGACGAATTTGCGGGCGAAGGGGTTGGCGTTTTTTGATGCGGTGGAGCATGTCTGGGGGAAGAGGTTTGGGGGTGTGTGGGAGGGGAGTTATATCCCTTGGGTGCCGGAGAATGCGCTTGCCAGTTTGGAGGATAAGAAGGTGGAGGGGGAGGAGGAGGAGGAGGAGGAGCGGGAGAAGAGGTTGGAGTTGGAGGAGATTGCAAAGAGGGATCCGTATGGGGTCAAGGGGACTTGGTTGAGGGTTGTCTGCTTCCTCGATTATACGGATTTTTTCCATTTCAACTTTCACAACCACGAGGGGGAGGGTCAGGCGGCCGAAGCGCCGAGGGAGCCGCTGAATACTGGTGAGGCGGTGAGGCTTATTCTTATGAAGGTTCATGCCACCAAGATTGAGCCTGCGGATCCTGAGGCGGGAGATCATGAGGACTGGCCGGTTGTTCATTTTGAGGGACAGTCTAGGGCGCTGGACTGGTCTTGGGATGGGAATGCGGATTCGGAGTTGAGGGGGACGGTGAGGATGACGAGGGAGGGGGAGGTGAGGTGGACGACGTATTCAATTTATGACGGGGAGGAGCGGTGGAAGAGCGAGGGGTTCCAGCTTGGTGGGAGGAGGTCTGCCAGGGGTGTTGTTGGGAATTGGTTTGATAAGTAGGTTTTTCTAGTTTGGGTGCTTTGAGAAACAGCATTGTTGACTTTGGACGATCACAGGGACTACAGCGAACACGGCCCCTGCGGTCCGACGGCTTTCTGGAAGGTGGCTGACCGCGAGTATGACTCCAACTCGGACGAGACCGGGGAGATGCTGAACAATCTGTTGCCACTTCGTACGCCTTTCTTCTCTCCCATGGAGCTTGCTCTTGTCCTGACGGTTGTAGTCGACAATGACGACGACGACGACGACTCGGACGATCCGGATGCTGAGGAGAATGAGGATAGCGATGAGCATGTGTCTGAGTCGGATGAAGTTGATGAGGAGGAGGAGGAGGATGGGGAAGACGAGGATGAGGATTTGGACCATGAGCTTGAGGAGGAGCTTGAGACGGAGGCGATGGCGGTGTTTGGTGGGGGTAATGCCACTGGCTCGGGTTCACCTCCGGGGCAGGGGTTGCGCGGTGGCGGTGGTGAGAATGATGGGGGGAATGATGATAGGGAAAACCGAGACAGGGACGGCCACAGCGATGTGGCTGGCAGAGAGCACGCGGGCATTGAACCGCCTTCTGATGCCGAGTCGAATGTCGAATCTGAAGATGAGGGATGGCCTTATGAGGACGGGTATGATCCGTATGAGGAGGAGGAGGCATATATGCAGGAGATGGCTCAGCTGCCGCGGTATGAGCTCAATGCGGATTACAGGCGGTTCAATGATATGATGGCGGCGAGGTTTCAGATCGGGATGCCGGAGCCTGATGATGATGAGTATTTGGAGCCGTGAGGACAGTGATGGGACATAACAGAATGGAATGGTTACTTATGGCGATGGATTTATTTGCTTTTATCTTTTTTTTCAGGGGGAAGGGATATGTATGCATGACTTTTATGTTGCTGATTTTCATTGCGTTGCCTTGAGGCGTTTGGGGAGGGGGTAGTGGCATGGGAGAAGTACATGGATTGGGGCGAGGGTGTTGATTTGGAGGGGATTTGATAGTTTTAGGGGTAGAGATAGTAATGGATTTGGTGTGCTGTATGTTTTCAGATTGTGTCTACGTGAAGATGGGACAGGTGTGGATTGGTAAGGTGGTTGAGATGATGTGTGAGAAAGATGAAGGTGGTAGATTATAATATCCTATGCAACCCTTGCTATTTTCCATCCATGAGCATCCAAACAGAAGAAAGTGACCATCCAAATCGCCCTGCCAAATGGTTGCCCTTTGGTGCATGCCCTTTGAACTGTGCTATAAAATGCTTCCGAACCCAATTCCCATCCAAGCCATACCCAGAAACCCATCATTAAAAAGATGGAATTTTGCAACCAAATCTTAGTCTCCCCTTAATTTCCAACTGATTTTA